TTGTCAAAAAAATACGGCAGGTTTAACTCTAGCCTCACAGAAGCCTTGACTGCTCCACATTAGGCAAAAGAACACCAGGAAAATGTGTCGTATGGTACACCTTGTCTTTCTGGAAATATTCAGTCCTAGAAAAAGGGTTAAGATGGCTTGACTTATCAATGTTCCAAACATTTTTGGAAGGAATCTGACTGACTTGGTATGTCTGAATAATATGCCAATCTTTGTGAATTTGCTAGCACAAGCACCTCAACGCTTGATTGAGAGGTGGAAAATGGCCATTTACAGAATAAAACAGGTATTGCAATGAACAATTCATCCTTTGTGCGGTGTAAACGGACACATTCCTGTGTCATGCCCTGCCCTAAGGGAGTTAACATTAGTCAAGAGAAGCATTTAGTATATACTTTTGTTTGATTATTATTACTATTACTATTTTTATTGTTAGTTATTATTACTATTATTATTGCCATTACATCAGGTAATGACCTTGGCAAAAATGTTGAACAGAAGTAAGGGATGAAAGACCAAAAAGAAAGGATGGTATCATAGCATTACCAGATCATAGCATTACCAGAGATGTTGGCTGATTGGAGGACTAGGATCAGGAAATATTCAGCTGCAGATTAGCATCATAGTGTATGATTCCAATGTAAACTCTAAAAAATTATTAATGATGATTAAGATTATGATGAATGTAAAGTAGGATGCAAGAGAAAAAACATAAGTCACCAGTTATCACGTTATATACAGAGAAATGTTATTAAGCCTCAAGGTTTGTATTTCCATCTTTCATGCAAACTGGTGGAAGAATCTCAAAATCTCCACATTTTTGCCTTCTCATTTATAGCAGAAACCTCTCTTGTTCCTTTTTCTGTTGTGCAAATCTTTCTGTTGTGCCACTCGTCTGCATGACCTTTAGATCTGTACTCTGTAAGTCTGAGATATACAAGTAGGGCTCAACAATATTATAAGTATATATTTTTTCCTAGTCAGGCCAGCAGTTTCAATATGTGCTGCCCTGCCAATATTTTCACAGGCCCCACCACATAAAAATTATTCATTTTATTTTTAGAAACGTTAATTTTTGTGATATTTATGCATAAATCAGACCATTCAGAGTCAAGTATTTCATATAAAGTGACGTGACATGTGACATGTGGCCAAGTATGGTGACCCATACTCGGAATTAGTGCTCTGCATTTACCCATCCAAAGTGCACACACACAGCAGTGAACACACACACACCGTGAACACACACCCGGAGCAGTGGGCAGCCATTTATGCTGCGGCGCCCGGGGAGCAGTTGGGGGTTCGGTGCCTTGCTCAAGGGCACCTCAGTCGTGGTATTGAAGGTGGGAGAGAGCGCTGTACATTCACTCCCCCCACCTACAATCCTTTCCGGTACGAGACTCGAACCCACTTTGGGTTATGAGTCCGACTCTCTAACCATTAGGCCACGACTTCCCCTTGTTTTGCTGTGTGATCATTTTAATTTGTTTATTCATTATTATCCTCTTCTAAAACGTATTTGTTAGCCAGCTAGATAACATTACATATTTAATTCAGAATTTGCAACAGCAATGTTCAATACGCAAAAACATATTTAAAAACAAATGGCTTAGAAGGGTCGCCAATTGGACAAGGGACAGCCAGTCTGAGATTGTGAGCTGGATTGTTTCAGAAAGGTTAGTGGATGGCATATAATGACAACACACAAATTTGGCAAAAAAAATTATATGGTAATGAATTTGGTCTGCAGAGAGCCCTACTAGACACCAGAGTATATAATTACAACTATTTATAGCTTGGAAGCATTCATCATCTTCTCTCAAAATAAACAAGCAGGTCAAGCACTCATATTTGATATTTTTGTGTTAATCTAAAGCTTATTGTGCTCTGTGCTTTTAACAAAATTGAGGTGGATGGATGCTCAGCGATGCAGGTCTTGGCATATCAGTTTGTGCGTTGTCAGTGTTTCAGCAGTGTTTGTGCGTAGGCTTCTTGACGTACAGATAAGCACACACAATAACTCACCTCATTCTTTCGAGCTCCTAAATGACAGCACCTGTCAACTGTGATGACATGTGCTGTGTGTGTCAGAGAGCTGGTTCAGTCAGAGACCTCTCACATGTGGTAGTTGTTGGTTGCTGTCAGCACAAGGTTAACCGTCAACTGTCAGGAGCTGAACAGAACCTTGTGTGTGACAGTGCTGTTCTCAAGCAAATGAAATAGCTTGATGAAAATCTGGCCGGATTATATGGATTGCACTATACTTCCTTTAGAAGTGTTTGCACAAAGCCCAGACCTGAACACCTTTGGGATGAAATTTGAATGCTGACTGTTAGCCAGACCATATCACCCAATGTCAGCATCTCGCTGAATAGGTACAAATCCTACTGCCATGTTCCAAAATCTAATGTAAGACCTTCCTGGAAGAGATTTTTTTCCCCCGTGCTTTTGAAATTAAATGTTTAACAAGACACAAGCATCGGTGAGGTCAGGCACTGATTATTGGTGATGGGATCTGGCCCGCTCCTCCAATTCATCCAAGAGGTTTTCAAAGGGGGTTCAGGACAGTCAAGCTCTTCCACACCAGATGATGTAATTGAATAAAAAAAAATGCATGCATTTTGTTTTTGTTTTTGTTATTTAGTTATTTTCTTATTAAATAAGTAAATACATTTTCATTTTTTAAAATAGATTTCTTATTTATTTTTATGTAATTAATTATAATTTCATTGAATTATTATTAATAATACATTAAAATAAATTAAATATTTCTATTAAAAAAAAAGTAAATTTAAAAATAAAATGAGCAAATCTTTAGTTTTCAATTAATTATTCATTTACTTTTATTTATATATTTTTTAAATTAAGTTTGATTCAAATTAAAAAATAAAAAGTCAGTAAAAGGGGGTTCATGAGCCCTACTGATGGAGCTGTGGGGCTATACGAGACGAAAAAGGTTGTCTTCTGGTAACATAAGATGTGGTAAAAATAGAGCTCTGTTTTTACAAGGATGGAGACAGTTTAAGGACTTCTGTAGCGGGCTAAATGATTCCCTAATTATTCGCAGTCATGGTTTCTCCCCTCCCTCCCTCCGCTCTCACACACTAATGCTTGTATGAGCTCTGCGATTGCTACAGACAACTTGTGCCTGGGGCAACCCCAACCGCAGCCCATAATGATCCAGGCTGTTGCCATGTTTACATGCATGTTTATGTTTGAGGGAAGGAGTGAATGATGAGGTGAGCGTGTCTGGTTGAGCAGGCAGAAGAGCGAGGGAAGTCGGTGTCATCTCAAGCATAGATTTAATTAGCTGATGAATTCCAATCCTGACGTGCCGAAGCCGTGAGGACTGTAGGATTAGTATCGACAGAGGAGGGTAGCGTTATTAGGTAGAGCCAAAAAAGAAAGGGTGTTCGCTTGTGCACGAGTCGCCCCGGGCCACGGGGACTTTCCCGATGTCAGACAAAAATCCTGCCCCCCTGACAGTTCCAAGTTGCTGTGGAAACACGAAGAAACTGCTTTTGCAGCACAATTTTCTATGAGTCTCCCGCTCACTTCAGATAACGTGTAAAATGTGGCTGCACTTACATTAACAACAAAATCCCTGTAATTTCCACATCTTTTCTTAGCCTGCAAATGCATAGAGGGAGCAATTTGGAGTTCGCAGCACGCTTACTTGCATCAGTGCAATGGCTACTGCTACTAGTAACAGCTGGAACGAGCAAATTATGGTATAAGTGTTCCTCTAATAGCACTATTTTGTCACATTTATGACATTTGAAATCTGTGTCCTGGCTGTTTGTTTGGAGAAAACAATGCCCAAGAAATGAAAATTGCTTGCGGCGCGGCAAGATGCCGTGAAAGCTCTCCTCACAATCTGAAGACATAAATCTACTTGTACCTGACAGAAACATGTCTCTCTTAGTTCTAACTGGTATGATTGAATGTTTTGGCTCACAATTAAAAGCATGTTTGCACAGTCCAAAAAACTTAAAGCTATTATCCCAGCAACGGTAATGATAGCTATTGGATGAGTGCCAAGCAACACAACTAAAGTAAATCCATTGCCGCATTATAAGGATTATTTTGAAAGTGATGTGAATTTGTGTTGTGAAGACACTTAAATATCGTTTCAGTCTCACGATAATCAGCTGTCAGTCGCTTTTGTTTTCTCTCTGAGGTGTGGTTACAGATGTGCACTAGGGTATTTCGTAGATCATGCCTGTTGCCGAGGGTTTGTCTCAATGGGAAAAAAACGTGTAGGTGCGATTCTGAGAAGTGTCTAATTTGAGGAACAGGTTAGATGAGTTGGTCTCTCCCTCTCTTTCTCCTGCTCAGTTCCTGTCTGTCTTTCTGTTTCTTGCTTTTCCTCCCTATCTTTAACATCTCAGTTTCAGTCAGGGATTCCCCGACTCGCTTGTGTTTGGGAATCGAGTATGTCTGAAAATAGAGCAGAGACCTTCTCGCTCTAAATCTTTTAAGGTTCAGATTTTCAGTTGACAGTCAGTTTTGTTTGTATAATAGTTTGAAACCTTTCAAATCAAACTAGTGATTTTTCCTTTAAAAAAAAAACAGATAATGCAACATTGTTAGATAATATTGTGTTTTGCATTTGATGACTTGGATATTATATGCACTGAATGCCATTATCCATATACAACATTTAGTTGTTTCAACCAGTTTACATAAGCTAGAAGTCAAATTGTTTGATGCTCTGTGTGTTTTCCAGTAACAGCAGAGCATACAGCTCTATGCAAACAAAGACACTTGATATCAACTAAAGAGAAGATTCCTTCTCTCAGCTTAGAGGGTTTTGCGCTGAGTTTTATTACCAGGCAGTTACTTGTTTTCATATTTCCTTAAATTTTGTTTATTTTGGCAACTTCTTGACTTATGTTATTGAGTTATGTCAATGGACTGAATTGCATTTAGCCATTTACTTGTATACTTTTGCATTTAAGTCTTACGCATAAATGCCTTGTGTTTGTCAGATCTCCTTTGACCTTGCTGAGTACACCGCAGACGTTGACGGGGTAGGGACCCTACGTCTGCTGGATGCAGTAAAGACCTGCGGTCTAACTGACACCGTCCGCTTCTACCAGGCCTCCACCAGCGAGCTCTACGGGAAAGTACAGGAAATTCCCCAGAAGGAGACCACACCATTTTACCCGCGATCCCCTTATGGTCAGCACACACACATCTAAAAACATGCTGTGTCTTTCTATTTTTACATTTTTTGATAAATAAATAAATACACAGATGTATTTTTATATATATATATATATATATATATATATCATTTTTTTTGCAGGTGCTGCTAAGCTCTATGCATACTGGATAGTGGTAAACTTCAGGGAAGCCTATAACCTCTTTGCTGTGAATGGGATCTTGTTCAATCATGAGAGTCCTAGAAGAGGTCAGACACACCACACACAAGATGAAAAAAACGTTTTACTGTTTTAGTTTGTTTGGTTGTTAGAGCTAGTGCAGGAATACTGAGATTACTTCACTTGAGGGCCACTTTCTGATAAAAGTATATGCTTGATGTGGTTTAATTTTCATTTGGTTTTGAAAAATGTGCAGTAATCAACAGTCACTTCTATGTGGTAGACCTCATATTTTGATCACCTTATATTTTCATCAAAACAGGTTCTGGTCAGACTTAACTCAACCTCGTTTTTTTAATTTTATATCAAAATGATAATAATGAACAGTGGGAGTTTAAAAATGTAAGTCTTGCATACAGATGTATTAATAATTCTTGAATGTTTCCAGTATGTTACAGGTTCAACCCAAAAATCTAAGTTCTGTCTCCATTTACTCACCCTCATGTCGAATGTATGACACAAAAAATATACTTTTATAAAAAAAAAAAAATTCATTTTTGGGCAAACTGTTTATTTAACCCTACCCTACCGTTCAAAAGTTTAGAATCAGTGAGATTTTATGTTTTTGAAAGAAGTCTCTTATGCTCACCAAGGCTGCATTTATTTGATCAAAAATACAGTAAAAACATTAATATCCTGAAATGTTATTTCAATTTAAAATAACTGCTTTCTATTTCTAATATGTCTTTCTAATATATTTTAAAATGTAATTTATTCCTATGATGCCACAGCTGAATTTTCAGCAGCCATTACTCCAGTATTCAGTGTCACATAATCTTTCAGAAATCATTCTAATATGAAATATAGAATGCTAAATGAAGTGTGGAAACCATGATACAGCGTTTTTTTTTCTTAGGATTTTTTGATTAACCGATCTATTTAATGCAGAGCAGCATTTTTTTGAAGTAGCAGTGAAAAAAATTTTTTTTTACATACCATAATGCTCACTACACATGTAAATATGTATTTTAAAGAAATAAATTCACTTTAATTCATTTGTAGAGTACAACAACCAAATGATAGATTACAGTAAGCCACATTACAGTACAGTAAGACATCCTCATTTTGGATTAAATTGTCGTTTTTAGGCATAGCTTTCAAAGTTTGCTCAAATAACAAATATTTGCTACTAGATGGAACCTCTGAAGTGTTAATATGCCACGAACAGTCTGTTAGTGCCTTGATGACAGTCTTGGCACGACAGAACGGTTTACACTCCAAGTGCGTGACCTGACACAGCAACTAGATCTCTCCCGTTATAAGTGCTTAAAGTGTAGATATTTTCAGTGCTTGTAATGGGAGTGACAGTTTTGTGGTGTCACAGAATCTGACTTATCTAGATGTCAAGATGGCTCAGGTTATGATTATAAATTATGAAACATACAATAACAGCTCTGTAGACTACACTAAAGGAAGTGATGCTAGAGTCCAGGGAGAATGTTGTATGTGTGACCAAACCCATTGTGATTGGTTTACAGGGGATTATCATGACACAACATTTGGTAAAGGGTGCAGCCATGACATCTTCTCCTCAACAAGAGTGTTGTTCTGTGCCCCCACCCACAACCCCAGAGCAGTGATGTCATCCGCTAGCATTAGTGGTGTGGATTTTTAAGCCAACTAGACTGTCTAAGCGTGTGCGTATATGTTGAAGGAAGTCGAGGAAAGAGGGGAGTACAGGGCTGGAGGAAGGTTAGAGATAGCTAGATAGGGAGAGAGATGGATGGAATAGTGTGAAAAAAGCCAACTTCATTTCCTGTCCGATCTCATTGGTAGCCTCCCCTCATTGGGCGGGTCGGCGATGATGAGTTAATCTGGTTTGGAATTCACTTCGGAATTTCAGCCAGTGTCTACTTTCACCAATAAACACACTCGCGCCAAAAGAGTTTACGAAATATGAGGAGTAAAAAAAAAATCTGTTACAAATCTGCCACAGAGACGTCTGGGGTGTGTGCGCATGTGAAAGCAGTTACACTTTGACACCTATTCAGGTTCGTCTGTCTAATAACAGTGAGTAGTTGCAGACGAGAGAAACGGTCGTGCCAGTCAATCAGACGACATCTAAGGGCTCCTCCATTACACACTCATCTCTCGTCTTTTTGTTCGCTCACGTTCCTTCTTTCCTGTTGAAAGACGAGCGTTTTAAGAAGTTAAACCTCTCCAGGTGAGAAGTACTGCACCTGATGGTGTCGATGGACCTCTCACCTATCGCAGACACACACGCACATGTGCACACTGCTGAATGAGCCCTGAGATGTTTTGCTCTTTCACTCTTTCTCACACACCTGTGTTTGTGTTATCATGTTGTCATGGCAACAAAGAAGGGAAGTGAATGAGATGCTCCTTTAATGTCTCAAATTAAACATCTCTCCTCACCTTGTATCTCTCTTGCTTTCTGTTTCTCACTCTCTGTCTCTCCGACACACACTCCCACATGCGCTCCAAAAAGCTGACATGGTTGGTTACTTGGGGCTCAACAGTAAGGTTTTTTTTTCTGATTGCTTGATTGGGCCATTTGTTCAGATTTCTACTTGACCTGCCAATATTTTCACAGGCCCTTACATAATTATTTTTATTATATTGTACATTTTATTTTATAAAAATATTTTAAGAAAGGCAAAACCCTTCCGCACACTACTTCAGCCTTTTTATAATAGTTAGTTTAGTTTATTTTATCATGTCTTTTGTCTCATGTAACTACCTATGATTTTTCAGGTGTGTGAGGTTCAATGTTTTTTTTTATCATAAAAAAAAATTGTATACAATATATTATAGAAAATAACTTTTATATATTGTATTAAGAATATAATTATTTTACATTCATCATTTTTGACATTTCTAAATGTTATTAATTTCGTATAAATAAAAAAAAATGTATCATTATTATCATAGTTATCACAAATATAATTTTTTTTTAAAAATCAAATCTTTAAAAAGAAAATGTTGAATAATAACGTGAAGTTATGTGGTTATATTTTGGCGTTTTGTGTATGTAGCTGTACTGAAAACACCAAGACAACATTTTCAACTAAAAGACAGAAAACTAAGTTTAAGCTTCCAAGGCATAATAATGCATATACTTTGTGAAGTGACGTGTGGCCAAGTATGGTGACCCATACTCGGAATTAGTGCTCTGCATTTACCCATCCAAAGTGCACACACACAGCAGTGAACACACACAAACCGTGAACACACACCCGGAGCAGTGGGCAGCCATTTATGCTGCGGCGCCCGGGGAGCAGTTGGGGTTCGGTGCCTTGCTCAAGGGCACCTCAGTCGTGGTATTGCAGGTGGGAGAGAGTGCTGTACATTCACTCCCCCCACCTACAATCCCTGCCGGTACGAGACTCGAACCCACAACCTTTGGGTTATGAGTCCAACTCTCTAACCATTAGGCCACGACTTCCCCATATACATGCTTATAAGTATGATATAGCACTGACCCAATAGGACAAGTGACAGTTCAGTCAGCTGATCCGAAACTTATAATGGCCTCCAGTTCAGCAGGCCAACCATATTATTGAGCGCTGTTACTGTTTTTCTGGTTTGACACTGTAGCTTTGCCAGTCCTGAAAGAGAGCTGCTGTGTGTTTTTGTCATTTGTTTAAATGAACGTGGCAATCCGATGGTTGCGTGTACATCTGCATGAATGTGTGTTCAGACATGTGTCAAGAAACAGGAACAGGGCCTTGTACTGACAGTCGTTTTTTCACGTGCTGGAAATATCTGAGTGTCAGTGACTGATAGACCAGACATCTTGACTGCACTTTATTTCCACCTGGTTTGGCAGGGCGTCTTTCCATCCGTTTCGAAATTTCGCCTAGATACTCAACATTACCCTTGGTCATTACTCTTAAAATGTGCATTGACAGCGCCCGGGCACCTTCTGCCATTAACATGCACACCTGCAGGTCTGCAGCCTGTTTAGAGGCTTTGCCGCGATCCCGTTCGCATAATCACGGTCTAAACTAGCCCTAAACTGGGTTGTTTTAGTCTTGATGAGAGCGAGTTGCGGTCGACTCCCTGCGACTCTGCTCCTCGTCATGGCTTCCCACCGTGTGCTAAGAGACGGCCTAATTATACTCCGACTGGAAACAGGAGCCGGTGCGCGGAAATGGCCTGTCTTGGACTTTTAAACACACTTACACCCAGACGCATAGCCGGCCCATTATTGTGGACTATGGTTTGGTCAATCGGCTTCAATTAACTTTTTTCCCCCCTCTTTTTTTTTTTATTTTTTTATTTTTTTCTTCTTTCAAACGAGTGATACGAAATCAGATCCTCGGGTCCCCCCCCGTGGTTTATCTGTGACGATGGATTGACCTGGCTGTTTACAGTGTGGTATTTTAAACCGTTCTTTTCATGCCAAGCTCACGCACCTGGTCGTGAGCTGCGTTTAGCATGGATTAGAAAGAGCCCTTTGTAATAGTAGCAAGCCTGTGCACGGGGGACCCATGTCGGACATCCTGTAAGTGGAAAGAGTGTGTCCACTTATGATTTTTTTTTTTCATTTAATTTCAGGTTACATTGCAAATCAGGGCTCAGCAGTACAGGTGACCCGCTGGCCTAGGGCCGCTGTTTTGGATCAGTGCTACAGTATATCTTACTTTTTTTTTTTTCAGTCACGTACAAGAATTTTTACGCCTTGAAAACATAAACATATGATTTTCTATGACATTTGATTGTGAATTCTGCTTATTAGTAAAAACTGTATTGCTATTTTTTGGTAAAGACAACTTGATTTGATTATAATGGAATGTATATGTGTGAAAAAAAAAGTTTATTAACTAATAATATTTTTAAAATGTACACTTTTATGCATTTGGCAGATTCAACATGACTTACATTTTATCCAAAGTGACTTATATTGTATTCAGTGTGTAGTTTTTTTTAATCAGTTAATGCTTTCCCTGAGAATAAAACCCATGACCTTGGCATTGCTTGCGCCATGGTCTACTGTTTGAATGTTTTGAAATAATTCAATACATTTACATTTATGCATTTGACATGTGCTTTTTATTAAAGAAGTGACTTGCACTGCTTTTAAAGTGTATTTTAAAGTGCATTTTATCAGTTCATGCGTTTCCTAGGAATTGAACCTTGGCAAATGTGTGTGTTTTGGCAATGATCTACTGTTTGAGCTACAGGAATGCTTATAATGGTTTTTAAATAATTTTCAAATGAATTTACAATTATACATTTGGCAGATAGTTTTATTCAAAGTGACATGTAGTGAGTTATAGACATGTCATCAGTTCATGCATTCCTTGGTAATCAAACCCATGACCATTTGCTGTTTAAGCTATGGGAACTAAATATTAAACCTTACAGCGATTGTGTATTTATTATACATTTACAATTATAAATGTAAGCATGAAATTATAAAATCATTTAAAATGTTGGGTGCAGTGGAAAACAATAGTAGCAGAGCAAGTTGAAATCTAGCCTGACTGGGCTAGTAGAAAAAAGGTTTAAGACCGTCCCAATTTTGTTGACTTTTGTTTTGCAATTATAGGGCATGATCTTCCCGGCGTTGCTGATTCTCTCCAGAAAGCTTTTACGGCCAGAATCACACACACACATGCAGGCTTCAGCCCAAGTCAAGAGCGTAATAGTCGTCGTTCACTTATACACTTGAAATGAAGTGTGTTTCTGCTCTGACCCGGGCCTGATATTATAGGCGGTGGAGGTTTTCGTTTAGAACTCCCACCTCTGTCTGATTCAAGCTATAGCAAAACCCAGCAGGACATGAGAGCGTCCCAAGGTTTCCCACAGATGAGTGTGTGTGTGTGTCTGGCAGCTCAGTAGGACTTTGGACAGGCTTACAGATTCTCTGGGGTGGTCCACTGACTAGACAAGAGTCTGATTTTATCCCTGTGTGTGACTGTTAGTGTGTGTTTCTGCCTGTGTGAATGAGAAGGACAGATTGATGGCCATAGTTCTCAATTCGCTTTGGCCGAAACACGCAAATTTGCACTGACATGTGTATGGGGGGTATGGGGGGGGTTATCAAAAATGAATGAAATAGACAGGTACAAGGAAAGAATAAAGGATGCAAAAAGACAAAATGAGAGTGAATGCTTCATAATCATTTTTCAAATATGTGTGTACATGTTTTTTCAGGTTCAAATTTTGTAACTAGGAAGATCAGTCGCTCTGTGGCAAAGATCCATCTTGGGCAGTTGCAGTGCTTCAGCCTGGGGAATCTGGACTCCAAGCGAGACTGGGGCCATGCCAAAGATTATGTGGAGGTACTTGAACACACTCACACATTCGTTCTTCAGTTGTGTTGAGGATGTACATATTTTACACGGTTTTCTTCCATGGTACATTGTGTACCAACCCATTGCCACGTTGTCTGTGTGAGAGTGAGTGCTACATTGAATTTTCAGCCCTATATTTTGTTTTGAAATGTCAGGCCACTTTCAGGACTCCCAACATTAACACCAAAGCTCATTTAGAATCACTTTAATTTAATGTAATCAATTGTTTTAAATTAATATTGATGATCAACATACTGATTAGTTTTGAGATGAGGGCATCATTTAAAATAAATAAATAAATTATATATATATATATATCATTTTATAAATATATACGGTATATTCATACATTTTCACATTTTTATATAGATGTATAAAATCTTTATTAAATACATTTAATTAAATTAATGTGCATTCCTGTTTAATGGTAAGTGCGTTCTTAGTTCTTAGTTTTTTTCCAAGCATTACTATTTGTGGTAATGATGGATACAAAAAGTACATCAATTCAGGTGTCTTCTATTGCTACTTTTTTAAGAAAGGGATTCATTGGTCACACGTTATTGCTCCATAAATATGTCAACATGTCTGCCAGCTGGCTATGATGAAGATCCTTGATAAAAAAAATGATGAAGCTCCTGATAAACTGAAATCCAAAATGAGAGTGACAGTGCATGAAATCATCAGCAACCTATTGAAAAATGATGATTTCTCTCCAGTGGAGTAGCAATTTGCAAATCGCTATTGCTGTCCGTTTATGCCGTTGTCAACTAAAATTAGTTTTGACCATTAAAGCAAGTCCATCGAGGATTCCAAAGCAGCTCCATTAGTAGTGGCTTCATTGGTGAAAATAAATGTTTCTCAATCACAATATAATGATTTCTGAAGGATCATGTAACACTGAAGACTTGAGTAATGGCTGCTGAAAATTCAGCTTTGATCACAGAAATAAATTACATTTAAACGTATATTAAATTTGAAAACATTTATTTTAAATTGTAATACTTTTTCACAATATTATTGTTTTACTGTATTTTTGGTAAGCAAAAGAGACATCTTTCAAAAACATTAAAAATTCAAACTATATGAGTTTGGGACTGGCGAGGAATTTTATGTATATCTTATATACTGTATATATAAAATTTTAGTAATGATAAAAGCAGGCCTACTGTTTAAATGAAATATGGAAATAAGTTTGTTCATCAGTTTGCCTGAGTATAAAGTTCTATTTTCTCATTTACGACTATTACAACAACTATTTATAACTATACATTCAGTTTGGTCTGCCATATGTAATATGTATTTTGACCTTGCACTTTCTTTTCAATTTGCTTGTAATTACCCTCTGAGTGCACAACCGTGCTGTCGTGTTTATCCTGGATTAGAGAGACCTGTGTTCCTTTAGGTTTTTGCCAGAGTGGGAGCTTTAGGTTTGTGTGTGTGTGCGTGTGTGTGTGTATGAGTGTGTGTGTATGAGTGTGTGCATGCATGTGTAAGCTGCTCCAGGTTTCCTGTGGGAACGCTGGTATTCCAGGCGGCTGAATCATGCAGCCAGGTTTATGTGGCTCAGGACTGGGGCAGATTTCGGGAAATCGGACCAAAGCTGTGAGCGTGTGTATATTTGTGAGAGTCGTGCATGTGTGTGGAGATGGAGTAGATCAGTGTGGTTCACTACAGAAACAGTCCATTTATTCTACTCCATGTATTTTACCTCCAGGCAAACTACAAAAATGTAAAAATCCTTTGTCAGACTCATAGGATTAAATTTTTCCAGACAGACAGTATGTCAATCATCTTTTGTTCGCACTGTTGATCTCTGTCCTGCACCTATTGAAGGCTTCAACTCCATGATTCTTCCACACGCTATTTGAGTCTGTGTGAAATCTTTAGTGAGAGATATGTTTGACAGAATGAGTTTGTTGCAACACACACTGTAGACATACTTTTGAACATGTCAGTAACTATTACCGTTTTAACTTGTATATAGTTTTATCTCAGATATGTGTGTACACTACTGTTCAAAAGTTTGGCATCAGTAAGATTTCATTTTAAATGAATTAATAGTTGTATTTATAATGTTACAAAAGATTTCTGTTTCCTGTTATTTTTAACTTTCTATTGAGTCCTGAAAAAAAATGATCACTGTTTCACATTGATGATAATAATAAAAAAATTATTTTAAACATATTAGATTGATTTCTGAATGATCATGTGACACTTAAAACTGAAGTAATGGCTGCTAAAAATTCAGCTTTGCCATCACAGGAATAAATTTAATTTTAAAATATATTCAGATAGAGAACAGTTATTTTAAATTGTAATTTTCACAATATTACTGTGTTTTTGATTAAATAAATGCAGTTTTGGTGAGCAAAAAAGACTTCTTTCAAAAACATTAAATCATAATGGCCCAAAACTTTTGAACGGTAGTTTATGTGAGATCAAAGCCTTTTCTATGCATGTCTGTGTGCCCAAGTGTGCTTTTTAATATTAGTGTACAGATATGACTCCATGTAGTCGAGGCAGTGGGAGATCAACAGTGTATGTTTGTGTAAACTCTTGAACCCGCACACAGTTTTAATTGGTCCGCTGTTTGTATGACTTAATAAGCTGATAGAAACTTGAAGCTTTATAGTTTTATGGAATTCAGACTTTCAGGCCTCCACTAAAAACATACATAAAATCAGGGCGCAAATGAAGTGAAGTTCAAAGATTCCTGTGAAAACACACAGGCTGAGCTGAAAGCGCGAAACTCTCAAAGGGGTCTTAGAGGTTGCTGAGGTTTTTGTTATTTTTTTGATGATTTCACCGCCGATCGCTTTGTTTCTCCAGCAACAAAATGATTTTGTCCTCGTTCTCACCTCACGCATCCATCCTCACCGCCGACCAATCGTGTACTAAAGAGAGCTTGGAGATGAATCATGCTGGTCTTTATGAGAACCCGACGGCCAGTCAAATCACTCATTAGCTCGATAACTAACTGTACCTGCAATGACCCATCACAACGAGAGAGTCTTATTTCATGGCCGTAGTGCGAAGACTGCATAGGATTTTCCAAAAAGATAGTTTTCAGAGGAGACTAGGAAACCAGCTGGAACTTTTCGACCAATAGGATATTCGCAAACACGTATAACACACATACACTTTGGGTTTTTATGTTTTATGGAGAAAAATAATGATTTTTATACTGTACAAACTGTAAATTCTATCCCCTACCCCTAAACCTGAGGAAAACATTTAGAATTTTTACATTTTCAAAAATATATATGTATCATTTTAGTGATTTATAAGCCGTTTTCCTCATAGGGACCAAACAATGTAGGGTTTATCTGGACCCCCCCCCACACACACACACACACACTCACTCACACATACATGCTTGCAAATGTACGGACACGTTAAATTGACAAAAGTGACAGTAAAGACATTTCAAATATTATTGTTACATTTCTGTTTCACATAAATGCTGTTATTTTGAATTGTCTATCCACCTTTTTCTTCAACGCGGAAGTAAGCCTATGGGTGAGACTTCCGGTTCATTAACCACTATAGGTAAATAACGAGGAGAATAACAACGTGCAGTAAACGGTAAAACTGTTTGCACTACAAACCAGTGTGTTCATAATTTCAGATAATACATTAAAATAATATGATAAGACACCAACTTTCAATATCAAGCAGCAAAACGAACTGTTTTGTTCAGCTAAAAATAGCTGGACGGAGTGGACGCAGATGAAACCGGAAGCCATACCCATATATTTTCCAAATGGCCGCGCCCATTTTTACGACAAGAAAAAGGTGGATACATTAAGAAAAATAAAATATGTATGAAAAATATGTATCAACTTCAGGATGAAATCTTAAAATATATTAAAATAGAAAAGTTTTTTAAAATTGTAATAATATTTCACAGTAATACCTTTCTTTTATTCAAATAAATGCAGCCTTTTTGAGCATAAGACCGTTGCAGACGTATATATGGGTCATTCCTGGGATTCGGTAATATTTCAGTCTCTCAGACTTTTTAAAGTGGTGGTTCACCAAAATGAAGTATTACATACTTTTAACAATACTTTGGTATGCCCATTATAAGGAATACAGATAATTATTGCATTTAAATAGTTTTTATCATAAAATAATGTCTAATTTCTATCTTATACCAAACATTTTGTCATGTCCCTGAGGCACTTCCCTGAGTTTGTACCGAACCCCGTTTGTGATAACTGTAATATTTTTGAGGCATATTACATTATTATTTTTCAATATTTAATTTTAATCCTCAAGTATATACAATGTACTTATTTTATTGCTGCTATATATGGACTGCTCTCCTACACTACATGAGGAGCACTGGCCATTTTGTGTGAAAAACCACAACCCCGTCTCAAACCCCGTAAACTTGTGACAGGGTTGAGTTATTTACTAAATTTATTAATAATTTGTATAAAAAAATTATATAAATATGTTATGAATATAAAATATTCATGATATACTTACCAAAATCACGACAACTCATATTTTTGAATGTCTGATGTAATATGTCCACTTAAACTCACAAACCCACACCCACATTAGCAGCAGAAAGACAATGCTGGGCATGCAGATATGCTGACCCAGAAAAAGGGGACAATATGAGAGAGAAACAAAACTGAACAATAAAATGGAAGGCAATGTATCATCACATTAATATTTTTGAAAAAAAAAAATAGGGAAGAAAATTAAGAATGAAAGCATTTCTTACTGATTACCATCTGACACGTTAAGGACTAAAACAGTAAAATTGATGTTTTGGTTAAACATCTAAATTAAACTTTTTTTTTTTCTTTTTTTTCTACAAAAATAAAGAGACCATAGACAATTTTTAACTTCAGGCACATAAAAATTGGAAAATTATGATAAATGTTACATTTGTTATCATTAAATTTTTATGAGAAACACATGAGCTGGAGGTAGATTTGTTTTATAATAAGTTCTGTGTAAAATCCTTTTTG